GATGCTAGCAAGTGCTATCTTTATCTTTACACTCATTACACATACAACTAACTGCACACGCCGAGCAGAATAAGCCTGCACTAAAGGATTTCAAGCAGTTTCGAAATGGGCTGTTGTTTGTTTCTCCTGCTTTCAACATGCGACTATAGTTCGGTATATTGCTCATTTTTATTATTAAGAACATTTACGACACAAAATTTGCATGTAGCTGGGCTGGCTACGCCGCTGTGAAAGACGCGATCATATAACGCCTATAGTAGGCGTCTTGTTTTTTTTTGTTAAGAAACGTAGAAAGTCTTGACCACAAGTATATTTTACAATGGAGTTTCCCTGTAATGTAATAACGTAAAAGACCGTCTAAAAAATCTAAATCTAACGTAAAAGACCGTCCATAGCGTAAGGTCCGTTGCATAATGGCGGACGACTTTGATTTCGCATTTGCACATCGTGGGTGTAAATATCCGAGCGGAATTAGTACCGTCGCACGGTGCTCCGCACCGACTCGGGGATTAATTCAATTTTCGAAGCGTCAAAGATAACATCTCTTATGAAAACCAAATAAATCTTGTAATGTTTACTATAGTAAAGTCCATAAAGAAAAGCGAATTATTCTGACATCGTCTCGCTAAAATGTATTTTGAATAATTGCGATGGTCGGTAGATTTAAGTTTTAAAATATTCATTTCGTGTGTATGACTGGTTGAAGTAATATTTTGACCACCATTATTCAACCAACTGGATGGGCTATACTTAGGGACCTACAAAACTAGTAGTAGCATGAATTTATTTAAACTACATGCTGCTGTATTTGAATAACGCTGCATGTTTCGAAAGAACGCAAACATAATACGCATATACCTCTGTATAAGACCTATATAATCCACAGAACTGGTATTCTCCAAAAGAGCTTTTATTTTCCTATACCAAAATATCATTATTTCCTTTTTTGCGATGTAGCGTAGAAGTAATTTCAGCCAGGATATTACGTGCATGCATGCATTTCCACTACATAATACACACATGCAAGCAAGTGTCTTCGTAGCTGAGAGTACTGTTCCAGAATCCCAGAGACGTAGCTATACATATATATATATATATATATATATATATATATATATATATATATATATATATATCAATATATATATATATATATATATATATATATATATATATATATATATATATATTATATAACTCAACTACTCGCGTGCGTGCAGTTGAGATGTTGATCATCGTATATGTTTTTGTCTTTATTCTCTTTCTTCCTTTGTATGTTTATATATGGTATATAATGGTTATGTAGCAAAATATGCAATAAAATATACTGTGTTTAAACTTACTGAGAAATTAATTTTTTAGATAACCTGCGACCTAACTTTACAAATCCAGCTGTCTTCCATGCATTTCAAGGGAAACAACTTCGGGTACAACTGAACGCAGTAGATCCTGAAAATAGGAAAATCCATTACAAATTTGCGCAGGATGAAATATTTGGTGCAACTCTTACAGAAAATGGCTTATTTACTTGGACGAAAAACACAACTGAATTCACAGTGTTTCAGTTTAACGTCACTGACGAATGTGGAGCTTATTCTATGCTTAATGTTTCTGTTGTAATCAAGACATGTCCATGTCAAAATTCAGGAGAATGTTTCCCTAACTATCGTTATCTGGATGGGTCAGGAAATTTCATCTGTTCCTGTCCTGCTGAATATTCCGGTACTTTATGTGAGCTTGATGTCAACGAATGTGACGTGTCGAAACCTTGTCAAAAGGGAACTTGTAATAATGAACAACCCGGGTTCTCCTGTTCATGTTTTGCAGGTTACACTGGCAGTCTTTGTGAAATTGAGGTAATTCTTCTCCAGTCATTTGGTAACATTATATACCGTGTTTGGCTGTTTCATGAATTAAATCTGTTACTTCAATTAACGATTATAGTAAAAGAAGTTTCAGTATTTATAGTTGAGCGCAAAGTCAGCCGTAAAGTTTTAAAGAGATTTGTGTAAACGTGTTCCAAGCTAAATAATGTTTTTCCATTCTATTTTCTTTCCTCAAAATTCAGGCCATTTTAAGTTTTTTTGTGAAAATATTTTACATTTCACCGCAAAATCCCTTGGGAAACCCGAATGTATTTTTGTGAATATAACAAAAACCCAAATTCTTGGCGACTCTGTTCGTAGATTTTAGTTAGAGTGGAATAAATTGAATTATGGCATGAAACTGAGTCGAATTTTTTTAAACACAGTCCCAAAAATTGTCACGAAATAGACATTTTACCTTGATTCAGGAGACATTTAAATTTGCGACCTTTAAAGACCAAAAGCATCACAAAGGCATTATCATAACACATTACTTCTCAAGCACAAAAACTCACACCCCCGCCACGCCTACTTTTACTACCTTGTCCCAGTGTTTTTGCTCGGCTTAATCCGTAATGATTATATTATTATTCGTAAAAGTATAAACTAAATGTTAACTTTAACTTTATGAGTCATTAAAAAAAAGCAATGTGAGCTAGTCTTCTCAACGAATACCGAAAAAATCTTAAGCCAACGTCTGTCAGACCGAGTTAGGCCAAGGTTAAAGCTCCGTCTCACTGCGGTTCTACCCCGCGCGCGGTCTGATCTCGGTTATAAAACCGCGATCAGACCGAGGTTTGACCTAGGTTAACTTTTGTTAGGTTATTTCTGGACAGTACTGTAATGTGAAATGGCACGAGTTTTTGTTGTAGGCATTTTTATGAGTATTCTAACCATCGCATTTTTAAAGGTGAACGAGTGTGCATCCAATCCATGTTTCGCTGACGTCCCATGCAAAGATATGATTGCAACATTCAGTTGTGGACCTTGTCCATGGGGGTATACAGGAAATGGGGAAAACTGCACCAGAGGTATGTATTTATTTTAATTCAGTGTCTCAAAGGAACTCAATGGATTGGACCGTAAAGCGGTAACATTCGCGATCGAATCGCTTGTGAACGAAGTATTTTAAGTATCGTTTTATTTCGCGTTTCAACTAGGGCCGTAGCTAGAAGATCCATTAATTGTGGGTTGAGCCAGCCAGACTGAAGCTTATATTTTTAAAACGACTTGATAGTCCCAAATTAGTTGAAAGCTAATAGCATACTGTCATTCTTTGCAAGAAATAGCCATATATAAAAGTGCATAAATATTGCATGTTTGTTGCTGCATTAGGTCGTCTATAGGCTTTTGCATCTTAAAATAATATAAAAAAATCATTCCCTACCATGCACTGTATAAAACGACATACAAAGCTCAAAATTTTGCAAATAAACTGGAAATTAAATTTCGCACTTGCGCATACTAACCAAACAATCCAACGTCCGTTACACAGAATTTGGATCCGCTCGCATGCAATTCGGGGGTATTCCTATATACATTAGTTTCCGAACGGAATTAGTACCCTATCAAGTGAGTCATATTTCAAGGCAAAAAGAATTGTTTTAGTTGTTGATTTAATTGTTGTTCAGTCGCGAGTGTTCAACTCGAGCCAGATCGGTGTATGTATAGCGTTTCACGCCGTGCGAATAGTTTAAAACCAAAATTGAGTTCATGCAGATAGGACTGATAGGTCTGTTTCTAATAGCATCGCGCATATGCATTTAAGGCACAATAACTATAATGCTATTCCCATACTTCCAAATAAAAAGAAATTGGCCCATGTGACTCAAATCCTAATGTATGCCACATCAACGGAGAGTGTGTTCAGAAAAATGGATCCTTCGTGTGCCAGTGCATAAATGGCTTCACGGGCGACGGAAAAATGAATTGCACAGGTAGCTATTAAGGCCGTTTCCTGTTATATAATTATTCAATCTTAGATAAGAGTGTTTTAAGAGTAAAAGAAACTACATATTTTGTGATATTTCTGGACATAGTCATAGGCTAACTTTTATGAAAATTTTCCTGGGAAGTTTTTCGTTTATGGCTGTTTTCCACTGTCGGGTCTTTTGTGTTTGCACGCACGTAAAAGTTTAAAACCTTCTATAAGTTAATTGTTATAATTATATAAATAATTTTATTGCAGAAAAAAAACAAAGAGTTGGATTCTGTTGATGATTTGGTGTGTTTTTCTGGAATAAAATTAAATAGCAACTTACAATGTTTTAAGCTTTTATGCGCGTGCACGTACGTGCAAAAAGCGACATTGGAAAGCAGCCCCAAGGGCTACTACATGCGTATATAGTCAACTCATACAATTTACATTACTGTTTAGATGTGAATGAATGCGTAGAAAGTCCTGATATTTGCCACAAAAATGCCACTTGCACCAATTTGAAAGGAAACTTTACCTGTGAATGTCTGAACGGGTTTACTGGCGATGGTCGCCATAATTGTTCAGGTACGTTTCAGTCTCAGAGAAAAGTTTCATTAATTTTATCAGGAAACGGTAATAACGGAAAAAGTGCCAACGAGCTAAGAGCGATATCGCTGTATATATCCTGCATGCATGTGGTCATACAATGATGCAAATAATAATATAAAAGTGTATTTAAAAACAATTGTTTGCACGGCTTATACATGTGAATGAATGCGTAAAAACTACTGATATTTGCCACAAAAATGTCATTTCAACAATTAACTATTATAATTATATTCTTGCAATATAATGGTTAGTTGCTGAAATGACATTACTGTTAGAGGTAATATAAAAATAAACAAATAATACAAAAAGTTGCTTTAATTTTTAAATTTCGTCACGTGCCTTATAATTCTATATTAACAAGGAAGCCATCTTGGTTTGCAAAATCCTGGCATTATGAACTTTTATGGTAATTGGTAATGTCCCGAATTTCTGGTTATGTTTCAACCTTCGGCTCTACCTAAGAAACTAAAAATTATCGTTGACTTCGCATTCACATGCAACATTCCTGTGGGAAAAATCCTATAATGTTGCTGCGGATTTCTTGTTGGTATAATAGCGCAAATTACAACGTGGCTGTGGTTTCTCAATGGATTGCTAACATTCTTTAGATGTGAATGAATGCTTGGAAACTCCTGACATTTGCCACAAGAATGCTACGTGCACAAATATTAAAGGAAGTTATTCCTGTCATTGTTTGGAAGGATTCATTGGGGATGGTAGACATAATTGTTCTGGTGAGTTTTTAGATAATTGAAATCTAAAAAAAGGGAATAAATTTAAAAAGTGAAGGAAAGTTTATAAGCTAGGAATGGAAAAGTCAAAATTTATCTGGGCATATGGAAATGAGGAACGGTTAGAAATATTTCGTGGAATTTCAGCTATCCTCAGCCCGCCATAGTGGTATTTTTTTCAACAGCTTTCAAAAAAGCATGTTAAGCTCGCTCATATCTAGATGTGCTATCTACACAACACTGTCGCTATCGTGAATACCGGACGTAATAAATCTTGAATAATTTGATGAATTTCTCCCCATAAAGTTAAACAGAAAAATGCTGATTATTATTTGACGTAGGCCTGCACATGTTGAAAACACTTTAAGGGTTAAGATATAGTACACAGGTGATATCTTGTGGTTATTTTATGATGCAAATATCCAAAAGTGTGTTTAAACATAATTGTTTGCACGGTTTAGATGTGAATGAATGCTTGGAAACTCCTGAGATTTGCCACAAGAATGCTACGTGCACAAATATTGAAGGAAATTATTCCTGTCATTGTTTGGAAGGATTCATTGGGGATGGTAGACATAATTGTTCTGGTGAGTTTTTCGATAATAGAAAACTAATAAAAGGGAATAAATTTAGAAAGTGAAGGAAAGTCTATAAGCTAGGAATGGAAAAGTGGAAATTTATCTGCATATAGAGATGAGAAATGGTTAAAGAAATATTTCGTGGAGTTTCAGCCATCCTCAGCCCGCTATAGTGGTATCTTTTTCAACAGCTTTCAAAAAAGCGCGTTAAGCTTCCCCATTTCTATATGTGTTTTCTATACAACTTAGCGCGAACCTTTCGCCCAATGACTGGTCCGCAAATTTAATACCGACGACGTAATAAATCTTAAATAATTTGATCAACTTCCCCTAATAAAGTTAAACGGGAAAATGCTGATTATTATGTGACGTAGGCATACGTGTGTTGAAATTAAACATTTTAAAGGTTATACGACATATCACGTATACGCGATATCATTTGGTTTTATGGTGATGCAAATATTCAAAAGTGTATTTAAACATAATTGTTTGCACGGTTTAGATGTGAATGAATGCGTAAAAACTCCTGACATTTGCCACAAAAATGCTACGTGCACAAATACTAAAGGAAATTATACTTGTGAATGTATGAACGGGTTCATTGGCGATGGTTACATTGATTGTTCTGGTGAGTTTGTCAATTAAGAAGCCAGATGCACTAAATATAATATTTAACGCGATATTGAGGGAATTTAAACTTTGATACACAATAAAAAATTGAAGCGTCTCATTTAGACTATATGAAATGGACAGGTTTCCATGGTACCTATAGCTTCTGTTGCTAAGTACGACAACAATGAAGTATCTCCTTTGTTTTCGGCTATGATCAGGCTGTTTCCACCCCAAAAATCCTATACGCACCATGCCTGTAAATACATGCAGTCATATAAAATTTAAAACAGGCGCTATATTTCTTCTTGCATTGTTTCGTGGTCAATAATTATGGTCTTTTGGGTGGAGTTTGCCTTGGCAACTGCATGGAACAACTATAATCTTAGATATCCAAATTGTGGTGAAATGACACATTTAAGCCTCGTTTTGATTCCACCTCCGTATCTAGCTAAAAAACTAGAAATTACTCTTGATTTCGCATTCACATGAAACATTCCTGTATGAAAAATCCTATAATGTTGTCTTTTCTGTGGATTTCATGTCGGTATAATAGCGCAAATTACAACGTGGCGGTGGTTTCTCAATGGATTGCTAACATTTTTTAGATGTGAATGAATGCTTGGAAACTCCTGACATTTGCCACAAGAATGCTACGTGCACAAATATTGAAGGAAGTTATTCCTGTCATTGTTTGGAAGGATTCATTGGGGATGGTAGACATAATTGTTCTGGTGAGTTTTTCGGTAATAGAAAACTAATAAAAGGGAATAAATTTAGAAAGTGAAGGAAAGCCTCTAAGCTAGGAATGGAAAAGTGAACCTTTATCTGAATATTCAGAGGAAAATAATTAGAAATATTTCGAGGACTTTCAGCCATCCACAGCCCGCCGAAATGGTATTTTTTTCAACACCTTTGAAAAAAGCATGTTAAGTTCGCTCATATCTAAATGTGTTTTCTATACAACATCGTCGCGATGGTGAATACTGGAGGTAATAAATCTTGAATAATTTGATGAATTTCCCCTCATAAAGTTAAACAGGAAAATGCTGATAATTATGTGACGTAGGCGTACACATGTCGAAGACATTTTAATGGTTATAAGAATTACAACACACATGATATCCTGTGGTCATATTATGATGCAAATATCCAAAAGTGTATTTAAACACAATTGTTTGCACGGTTTAGATGTGAATGAATGCTTGGAAACTCCTGAGATTTGCCACAAGAATGCTACGTGCACAAATATTGAAGGAAATTATTCCTGTCATTGTTTGGAAGGATTCATTGGGGATGGTAGACATAATTGTTCTGGTGAGTTTTTCGATAATAGAAAACTAATAAAAGGGAATAAATTTAGAAAGTGAAGGAAAGTCTATAAGCTAGGAATGGAAAAGTGGAAATTTATCTGCATATAGAGATGAGAAATGGTTAAGAAATATTTCGTGGAGTTTCAGCCATCCTCAGCCCGCCATATGGTATTTTTTCAACAGCTTTCAAAAAAGCGTTAAGCTTCCCCATTCTATGTGTTTTCTATACAACTTAGCGCGAACCTTTCGCCCAATGACTGGTCCGCAAAATCTTTAATACCGGACGACGTAATAAATCTTAAATAATTTGATCAACTTCCCCTAATAAAGTTAAACGGGAAAATGCTGATTATTATGTGACGTAGGCATACGTGTGTTGAAATTAAACACTTTAAAGGTTATACGACATATCACGTATACGCGATATCATTTGGTTTTATGGTGATGCAAATATTCAAAAGTGTATTTAAACATAATTGTTTGCACGGTTTAGATGTGAATGAATGCGTAAAAACTCCTGACATTTGCCACAAAAATGCTACGTGCACAAATACTAAAGGAAATTATACTTGTGAATGTATGAACGGCTTCATTGGCGATGGTTACATTGATTGTTCTGGTGAGTTTTTTAATTAAGAAGCCAGGTGCACTAAATATATTATTTAACGAGATATTGAGGGAATTTAAACTTTGACACGGAATAAAAAAATTGAAGCGTCTCATTTAGACCAGTGGAAATGAACAGGTTTCCATGGTACCTATTTTCTGTCGTTAAGTACGACAACAATTAAGTATTTCCGTTATTTTCGGGATGGTATGGCCGTTTTCTGCCCGCGTTCTATACTAAAAATTCTATGACGACCATGTAAATACATGAAAAATTCTAAAACAGGCGTTATATACTTTCTTCTAACTTTTTTTTGGTGATTTATGATCTTTTGGGTGACGGTACAATTGCTGGGACCTAGAACAACTATGATCAAAAGTCTCGGGCATGAATAACACATATTTGAGCCTCTTTTTCAACCTTCTACAAAAGAAACTCAAATTGAACTTTAGTTTTATATTGATTTGCAAAGTTACTGTATAACACTTCCTGTAATGAGCCTTTTCTGTGGATTCCTCGTTGGGATAATATCAAAGTGATTACTCAATCAATTAAATAATTAATAATGTTTAGATGTGAATGAATGCTTGGAAACTCCTGACATTTGCCACAAAAATGCTACTTGCACAAATATTGAAGGAAGTTATTTTTGTCAATGTTTGGAAGGATACATTGGGGATGGTAGACTGTAAAATTAGTATAATTTAGAGCAAATTTAAACAGCGGCAGAAGAATTTTTAAACATGCAGCGGCAGGGGAATTTGCCTCTAATGCGTCGGCCACGCATGGCATGCAACGTGAGTTAAAATATGTAGAAACAAAGGTATAATATACTCATATACATTCGTGACGCGGGGACGTTTAAATCTTCGTATTCCACCAATTCCTTATGATTCCTAATGTTTAATAAGTTTTAAGAGTGCAGGTTCGGTTTGTTGGGTTTTAGTACTGTTCATTAATACAATGTATAAACCAGAATCAGCAGTGAATTGGAAATGTCCAAAGCCAAATGAAATTTCGAGCTTTATTGCCTCTTGAGGATCCCGCTTGGTTTGATCCATTTCATTTCAGGACGTCGTGTGATACGTATGTATTATTGCATGCTTTTACACTGCTTTGCGTTGCCATATCTGAGTGTCCCATGATTTGGCATCTTAAATTCTTTCTAATTCGCATAAAGCTCGGGAGGCTATAAACCTGAACACCATTTTTATTTCATTTTTATCTTCGATCATTTACAAAAAATCTACTAACCATAGGCGTTCTACAAAATCGTGTTTAAAATTGCAATTACTTTTCGAAGTTAGTCTTTTTAGTTTCGAAGTACGAATTAAATTGACACGTAGTGTGCTCATTAATTTTGCCTCATGCAGTATCTCTTATATTTCGTACAGTAGCGTAGCCAGCCCGACAATTCAGTCATGGTATGTTAATATTTTCGTATTTGTTGACTGTGAAAACAATGAAATTCTATAAAGAAATGAATAAAAATAATAACATCAAATTTGCATAGCAGGACTAAATTGCCATGCAAGCAAGCTCGCTACGCCACTGATTCCGTTAGTAAGGTTTTCCGGCTGCAATGATCAGCCAGCTCGCCCTCGGCTTTCTATTTTTTTGTCAGAGATATTAATACACACGGATGATGAAATCTTCATAAGGCGGTAACTTGTTTCCAACAACATTTCAAGGTGCAATTTTTCTCCAGCATAGCCGCGCGACAAAATCCACTTTAAATCGTTAATAAAGGACCTGTTTTTGATCAAATGGATGGCTAGGGCATAAAGTTGGATAAGAAAGAATTGTGACACGGTGCCCTCGAAGGCGAGTTTCTGTTGCTAGGCTACGGCTAATATTTTAGACGTTAATGAATGCATAAAAATTCCGGATGTTTGCCATAAATATGCAACATGTATCAACACATGTGAATGCCTAGACGGGTTTATTGGTGATGATTACCATGATTGCTTCGGTGAGTTAGATACGAATGGCCTTGACCATCGATGAAGGCCGGATCGAAAGCTCTGCAATAGACTAATTCACGTAGTGCTTTTATAAATATATTTAATATTTAGTTTACTAAATTTCGAGAATATAAAAATTTTTGCTTTAAAACCTCTATAGAAAATAAATCTCCGCTTATAAATACTCCAAGTTCAGTCTACGCAATCTTGAATATGGACTTCAGAATTCCGATCGAAGCACGCGATCCCGAGGACGAGGATCTAGTTTTTGAGTTAATGTCAAACGGAACCGCAACCACGGCTGAAATCACAGAAAACGGTTTTCTTACAATACCGGAACTTAAAGAAAGTGGAAGTGTTTATATACTGGTTAAAGATAAAAAGGGTGCCCAGAATTTTCTAGTTCTCAATGTGAAAGCGATGCAATGTCCATGTGAACAAAATGGTACATGTCAGAAAAAGCAGAATATCACTTATCCAGTGCAGAAATCCGACTATATTTGCAATTGTAAGGAACCATTCACCGGTGAAAAATGTGAAAAACGCTCAAATCCTTGCAGCGAGCAGCCCTGTTTTCCTGGACTCAAATGTTCTTCCGCACTGAATTCGGAGGGATATACCTGTGAAAAATGTCCACCATTATTTAAAGGCGATGGAAAATATTGTGAACTTAATAACGTGAAAGGTATGTATTTTATTAAGAAAACACGAATACTTTTATGCTGTGAGCCGGAACACTTCTTATATTAATGAGTAATTAAAATTATTCCCCTGCAACAAGATGTCTCCTCGATCTTTTATCAATCTAAATGAGGTTGAAGGATGTTTGTTGCGAGGCCTTGGTTTTTCCCGCATTCAATTATCAACCCTATAACCCTAACCGCTAACCATAATGATTTATATCATGACTGATTTGGAGTTCAATCAAAGAACCTTGCGCCCAAGTTGTTTGTCAATTATCCCCGAGCCGGTTACTAATCCGAAAAAATTGAAACATCACCTATCATAGGCTATGGGCTTATTTAACGCATTTTATAATATAAGATTAGAGGGTAAGGTAATTCATGAAATATTTAGCTTTGTTCAAAATGGCGAGGGGATGCTGCATGCCCGTGTCCCTAGTTTTAAATTTACATTAATTGGATCTAAATTGTGTACCCAATTTCTTATCACTGGTATTGAATATAAAAACCATGACCAGCAGACAATTTAAAAAAGTAAAGTAAAAAGGAATTCCGAATAAACAAGACATCTTGGGAATCAAAATATAATTCATACAAGACACATATTAAGACTGTAGCTAAATTTTCGACTTTATTACAAAGTCATCTTCAGACAGAATGAAATACAATACTTTACAACGCATATGTATACAACAGAGAGAGAGAGGGCAAGTGTCAATCCAGCATGTATAGGCGGAAGGCCGGTAAACCAAGCAGAGCGAAACATGATAAGGTTATGAATAAAACTAAATATGTATGCTATATTTACAACAATATGTTAGATAGATTTAGGAAGGAAAAGAAAGACCCGACAATGGACCTTTTGCATAATAGACCAACTTACGATCTAGCTAACAAGAAGGAAATAAATCACCACAGCTAAAAAGCGCATACCGAAATTAGTATAATTGCCAAGTTTGGCCGTAAAATGTCAAGTATTACGGAAAATATAGCCACGCAAAGTAGCCAATTTTGTATACTTTTTTACTACGTCCGGAAGCGTTTAACTAATTTAGTTACATACTTTCGGCCGTAGTAAAAAAGTATACAAAACTGCCAACTTCGCATGGCTATATTTTCCGTACTTTACAATATTTTGCAGCCAAACTTGGTTTTTACTAAATTTGTTTGCACTTTCGAAATTTCCTTTTTGCTGCCTATTCAAAAGTTGGTCTATTATGCAAAAGTCATTAATTATTAGAGAGATTAAGTGAACAGTGGCTTTAAGTCCAGTGTTAAGGAAAGGTTTGTTATGTTTGATTAAGAGTGCTTCAAGAAAGGCGAGAATATGATAGTTACTCAATTTAGCTATATGTGAAGAATTCTACAGTTATTGAAAGCTAAGTTCTCAATAGGAGAAGGGTTATTCAAAGATAAAGGTATATCGTTGAGTGGTAAGAATTGGTTTTGTAGTGTGGCTTAAGATTGAGCGTGTCACACTCAGAGAATGTTGGCCTACCGCACTAGAGCCTAGTAGAATGCTCTTTCAAACGTACAAAAAGGCACCTTTGCGTCATGCCAATTAATATAAGTTTTCCCGCAGCGCAGAGCAAATATACTAAATTGCTACGAGATAAAGAGGGAAGTTTGTCTTTGTTGGAAACAAAATATGAAAACCTTTTAGTGTCGTAAATTGTGACGAATTTTACCGGTTTGGAAAGAAATCTTTGTATTAAGTTTTATTGAGACAAGATTTATAAGCAGAAAATCGCCCCGATTTCCGAGATAAGGTTTACTGATCTACTTTACTGATCTGTTTACTAATCTCTCTATATTTTAATTTTCGGGTCTTCTTTTTCCTTCCTTAAATCTATATATAACATATTGTTGTAAATCTAGCATACATATTTAGTTTTATTCACAACCTTATCATGTTTCGCTCTGCCTGGTTTACCGGCCTTCCGCCTACATGCTGGATTGACACGTGCGCTCTCTCTCTGTGTTGTATATATATATGTGTTGTAAAGTATTGTATTTCATTCTGTCTAAAGATGAGTTTGTAATAAAGTCGAAAATTTACAGTCTTAATCTGCGTCTTGTTTGAATTATATTTTGATTCTCAAGATGTCTTGTTTATCCGAAATTTGCTTTTTATGTTATTGAATATAATTCGTGCAAACACCTTCTCTTGAATTTTGCTTAATATGGACGTAGAAAAGAACCACGTGGAATCTAAAATAACATTGAAAAGTGAAAAATGGGTTGATCAATTAACTGACAATACATCCAAAGAGTACAGGGAGCTTGCCTCGCGGATAACAATTGAGGTATGTCGAAGTAAAAATTAAATTAATTTAATTTAAAGTTAACTTCGAAATTATGCTACGCGGAAAACCGTATAGGTAAACATACATCCTAGACTTCACACGCCTATAATAACTAGCGACTATACAACTGAATAGCTAATGAAATAAAAAAAAACGAGGAAGACAAGCTTACGTTAATTACAAATTTACTTGAAGCAAAGATGTGTATATACATTACAAAAAACATAGTGCTATTGCACTCATACATACCATTTAAGTAACAAAGTCTATAGCAAAGTTAAGTTTTTATATATATGATTCTAAGTTTTAAACTATGTAAAAGTTTTGGATTTTTAGTTTAAATCAGTTTAATTACTAAGACGCTTGTAATTAAGAGGAGATTTTTTTAAAAATCGCGTATTTTTTGTGAAAAAGGCTCAAAACTTAGCAACCAGGCCTTCGCTAGAATATGCTTCGCGGCCATTTTGAATTTACAAGTTTGGTCAAGTTTTCGTGTCGAGTGACAGCTGTTTTACTAACTTTTGGAGAATTTCAAAAGGCGAAAAGCTCCTTGAAATAAAGAAGAACATCAGGTGAGTGTTCGTTCAATTTTTTTGGTATTTTGAATGATATAATTTTCCATGGGCACATTTTTATTAGCGCGAAGGAGTGACACACACCAATGGCAATGTGTAACATATTGAAATATACTGATTTTAGTGATTTATAAGCCTTGTGATAAAATAAAAATTTCAAATGTTACGGTTTTTATTCCTAGGTCTTCAACACGTCTTGGAAAATATGAACAATAGTTTCAGATACCGGTAAACTCGCATTTGGGTTGCAGTGGGAGAGTGGATGGTTTATTATTGCATGCTCTGTGTTATAGGTTGAAGATCATAGGCCGTAGGATGAGCATCCAAAAGATGCAATTCCGTTGCACCCCTCGTGAAACTACATAATTTTCACATGAATCAATAGATAAAAACTTACTTTATCAGAATCCGTCGCTCCCCAAGCGAAACAGGTGCACAAATGGGAAAAAAATCCCTCCAAAGTTTGCTATATTCGCGCTTCGAAATATTCGAACCGCCATTGTTTTAGTAGCAAATACGCATGCGCTTGTCAGCCAAACTCGCACTGCGCACGCGCAGACAGGAAAAATGGATTTTCCCTGTGGGTTTTCCCCGATTTCCCGTGTAAAAATAACAAAATAAAATCACAGAATAAAGATCAAACCTTGTAATATTAACGAATAAATACACACACAATAAATATTGTTAAAACACATTGTACATTTTGCTTGCTCATATGCTAAATCACTTCAATTTATTGGCTATTGTTTCAAAATACCGTTTTAACGTATAATTCTACTTATTAACATCTTAATTCAATAAAAATTTGTGAGGTAAAAAACCCACCTGTATCAAACAGGACGGAGAATATATAAATATACATACAACTCACACAATCAAGAAACAAGTTAAATATTTCGCTTAAATATAGCCTTGGCCAAACGCATTATCCCATGCAAGAGTAGTTGGAACATCACTAACAAAGCCTGGAGGAATAGCAGAATCATTGGATATATTCATCTGTGCAAGGGCAGTTTCATGGCACAATACAAATGAGTGTGACATGCAATGTCCAAAGCCACTCAATAGAGAAATTACTGAGGCTGAACCTGTCAGTTGTCTAAGTGCCATGGCAAGTGCTATGCTCTTGGGTGTAAGATTCCTTACCCCAGATGCTAAATTCACAAGGTCTTGTACAATTGATGTTAGTTTGGAACTGTTCTTGCCCTCAATTGGCACGTACTCACTTAAAGTTGGCTCTGAAGAGAATCCACAAGTCCAAGCCAATACATTAAAAAGTTCACATGGAACCACTTTTTGCACATTATCTATTGTCAAATCAGATGCCAATGGTGGCCAAGGAAGATTCAGTTTTGGTATATCTTGGACCTTTTGGCGAAGAATCAATGTAGCATTGTATAGAATTTGTAACTCATTGACTTTAGAATTTCCCTCAGTTTCTGTGTTGGAATTCAGATCATCATCATCAATGGTACCGGTATAGCTCTCTTCATCAAAGTCTTCATCGTTGTTTTCTGACTTGTTTGACATATGTTCCTCCTAATTCGGAAGAATCCAAATTTTCCACATATACAATCTCACTAACATTTCTCATTTTCGGTACATAGAACACAAGTTGGGGATAACTTTTCATCTGTCGTTGCTTGAGTTTAAAAGCTCTATATTTAGATGCATCCACATTCTCGGTGTCCTTAGCAATGATAACAAATTTCTCCAGCAATCTTTCATGTACCTTATTTGCTTATTTGCGATGACCTCAGTCTTGATTACTTTCTTACAGAAGACATCATAAGACTTCTCGTACACTGTAGATCTTTCAGTCTCCAATTGCTTCTTTGTCTCTCTGGTGAGAAAATTTGTATGATTGCAGTAGCAAACTTTGTGATAGTGGACTTCCAGTGCTACACAGTCTTTCCCCCGGATTTACACGAGTATCCGTTCATCATTCTTTCTCTCGGCAGCTGTACGTAGAAGACCAGCATCAATTGTTTCTGCCAACATGAGTGGGGTTCTTCTTCTCTTCTTAGTCACCTGATGTGAACAAAACTATTAAACTTAATATCTGCTAATAACACAGTTGGATGTTTGTAGCATTAGAAACTACTTTACCCTAAGACTAAATAAACTTAATTGACCACAATTCAAGATATTTTAAAACCAAACTGAGAATGCTGTGCTACTAGTGCACATTGCACCAGCTACTAGTGCACATTGCACTAGTATATTATATCTATCAAAATGACCATACCTTGTCTAGTGAGAACTAAGAGGAATCTCTTCCACAAACAATACATATCTCTGGAAGTACATGCTCGTTTCTTTTAGGCAGGGTCTTATTAACGTCTGCGACTGATTGTCGTGTAATTTTTCGCCTTGGTTCCATTGGTTCCACTTTCACATGTAGTCCTTCGGTAGGAGTTACAGTTTCAGAGCTAGTGCCTTCTCCTTTTTCTTCCTTTCGCTGTTGTCTACGGATCTTCTCTTCATCACAAAATCTCTTCCAGCATTTCATATGATGGTACCATTCTCAGTTAATGCTGTCAGGGTTCTTCTCCATGTATGAATTGACAGATCCGTCATCGATGTTTTCGTAAGATTTCTTAGCTATTTCAGCTTGTTGACATTTAAGTTTGGCCCATTTTGGACCTACACTCAAGAAATTTCTTACGCCTTTGGCGTGTAACTTTGCAAAGTTGCTCCGTAACGCCATCAAAATGAATAAAACATGAGGATATTCGAGTGTTATAAATATCTTCAGCCATGATTATTTTGCATAACTCGAAGCATGTGCGTGCTTATGCGCGTGCGCAGTGCGTGTTTGGCTGACAAGCGCATGCGCATTTGCTACTAAAACAATGGCGATTTGAATATTTCGAAGCGCGAATATAGAAAACTTTGGAGGGATTGTTTTCCCAATTGTGCACCTGTTTCGCTTGGGGAGCGACGGATTCTGATAAAGTAAGTTTTTATCTATTGATTCATGTGAAAATTATGTAGTTTCACGAGGGGTGCAACGGAATCCGTTTTCTAAGCATCTTTTGGATGCTCATCCTACGGCCTATCAGTTTATCACAACAATAATAAAGACCTAAATAATCTCTTTCAAGAAACAACACAAACAAGGAGGAAGTCAAACTATTTTGATTTATTTAAAAAACAACTGTCCTCTCTATTCTAACAATCAATTCCTTGTGTGGTGGGTACAGAATATAGGACATGTACTCATGTAGGACAATTGATGGGTCAATCATGGGACAGTTCATTCCAAAATTATAAAACTATAAGTATAGGTAATATATAATTATAATGTGGCTTTATTGTTAAAATATTATAACAATAATAGTAATAAAAAGTGTTTTTCCAATCTTGAGTTGTTTCCACTGTTTTTAAAGAAAGTCTGCAATAAAAAGTAATATAGGATTTTTCATATATGTAAATAAGGATTTTTCATATTTTTTATCATGCAATGGAAAATTCCTCTATAAGAGATTTATCAGGACAAATCTGGGGTTAACAAGAAAGGATGTTGTAGACAAATTTAGGATGTAGGATCCAGAGATAGGCATTTAGGATGTAGGATCCAGAGACAAGCTGGGGCCTGTATTTGCACAAATTTGTGCAACATGTGTTTGTTTAACCAGGATAAATAAAACCATATACAATCTCCATAGAAATATAAAATGGGTTTAAAGCCAATTGTTTACACAGCTGACAGCATAGCTCTTATTTTATATCCAAAAATCAGTTAGCAACACTGGGCTATTCAAGTAAATACAGGTTGTGTATATAGAAAATCTGTTTTATGTTGAAACATTGTAATTTTGTCACACAAACTCATATTGTACAAGCCAATTTTTGCAATATTTTCATCTTTGCCAATATTCTAGAAAGACTGAGGGTTATAAAAGATGCACTAATGTTGGCAAAAATAATGCAAAATCCAATTATTTAATTAACAAGTAAATCACTGTTGCCAAAGAAACACCTTGTGGATAGATAATTAAGGCTAAAAAATACAATTTAAACAAGTTTTTATATCTAGAGCAAGTTATAACCCTGGACAAGCCTTGAGAGTTAACCAGGGATTGGAAAACATCACAGGACCACCTTAATTGAACCCAATGGAAATACAAATGAAAATAGTCAAATTCTGCGAGGACCATCCACCCCAAATTTTTTAAAACCACCTTTATTTTGTAGTGTGATACATAAACTTCAAGAATAAAACTACCTTGGAGTGTGCCAATCAATATTAAACAATATTTTTTCAATTAAGTGAAGCCTTTCATCATGTTTGTGCTCAGTCATGCAAAAAGCTGACATTTTCAAAATAAAAAAGTCTCATAATCCTTTTTTTAAGTTTCTTGCTAGAATATGGCTTCCATTATGATGATATTTGATCTTAGAGCTACATAATTATCAAACATTTTATTGTTTAACCAATAGCTAGAGTATTCTAAAACCAACAAAATAAAACCTTCAATTTTTGCTCAATGTAGGGAAAATGGAGTGACTAATATCTTTAGTTAGTAAAATTTCGCGAGGACCATTCGCTTAGAATTCCTTGAAACAGGCACTGTTTTTTTCCATATACATTGTAGTATAATGTAATATAGGTCCCACAGTGTGCCAATTGGTTTAAACTTAGAAATATCTACAATATGATACGATTATCGACACCCTAAACCGTCCGAAAAAATGGTATACAATAAAAATATTTGCCGATCAAAAATGAATTTTTATTCTATCAGTATTCTTTAAAACAAAAATAACTTGACGTTTATTTGCGCATACGATAACGCTTTTACACATGGAATACAGTTTTTTTGTGATCGGCATCAATTTCAAGGTGTATTTGCAGTATAATTTTTAAGGCCATCGTTAATGAGGCTTTTAGACCTGAAAAAAAGGTCGCTCATTTAAAAGGGAAAAAACTTAATAACCTGGGGTCAAGATCAAACCGATCTTGGCAAGACACAACATTTGGGTACATATGTTGCCATCCATAGAAATATTTTCGAGATCTAACTACATAAGAATAGAAACAAAAGAGTTAAGATAACCATACCTTTGTGTGTTCGACATTCGAAGAATACGGCCCCAGTGTTCGAGGCGCATTATTCTCATTTGAAACGTCGCGGACCAAGCTAATGTACATCCATTACAGTCAAATATGTTGAATTTAAAATTTCGTCTCTTAGATGAACCATCGAGTATGTTTTCATATCAAAAACAGAACAAAATTTAATAAATTCACTCCTTTGTCGCCATGTTCCAAAAAACAACAAAATTTACATATTTTTCGCAAAGCATGACGGTATTTTTGAGCCCAAATTTCTCAATTTTTAAAAAAGTTGTCTTTTATTTTAAAATAAGTTGTCTTTTATTTTAAAATAGGTTTTAAACATGTTTCGTAATAATATATAATTAACCATGTCTCTCATATTTAACAGATCAGGACAATTTATAACAACGTTCCAGAGTTTAGTTACTTAATTGTCAAAAACTTCAGGTATGTCAAATATAATTTTGGAAGAGTTAAGATTCAACAATTAATTGTTTGTATATTGAGAAATAAAGACGTTTCTGCTTAAAATATTTCTTATTTTTGGAATTTTTCCTTAAAATATTCCTTTTTATTCAATAAGTTCAATGTATTTCCGTTTGTATTTCTCTTTGTACTTTACCTCGACAATCCTTTCACCATTAGACCAAACTTTTTTCTAGGAGTAGTGCATAGTAAACTTTTTAACATGTAAACAGTTGGGAAAATAATTAGAATAATGATATGTAGTTTTCTTTCGCATATTATGTTCGAATAGCAGCCGGGAGCTTTAAAATACCTGCACCTAATTTAGCGTGTTTTAATTACAGACCCGGAAGTATAATTGTAAATTTCGTGTTGATATTTTCCGATGAAGTAAAAGCTCCACTTGAACCATTACTCAAAGTGGCAGAGACTGGCAAACTCGGCAACATGACGTTTGAGATGAACGGTGAGAAGTGAATTACATAAATGCGTCTGCTAGGAGTGCATGCACAAAATAATGATTAACGAGGTTTAAAGTTTTTTATTACGGCAATTACTTTTATTATAAAACTAGATTATATTGCTGTAAAATAATTATACTAATCGTTTTACTCACCCAACGTTTTGACACTCCTGCACGCGTGGAGTTACTCTGCTTATTAACGGAGCAATTGGCATTGCATGCAGTGGCGTAGCCAGCCTGACAATTTTGTCCCGCTATGTAAATTTTGAGTTATTATAATTATTCATGTCTTTAGAAATCTATTGTTTTCACAGTCAGTGAACACGAAAATATTAGCATAGCGGGACAAATCGACAGGGCTGGCTACGCTACTGATTGTATGCAGTTTAACGTGTTTGCAAATCAGCACATGCAGGTTGCATCATTACCCATTGTGAAAAAAAATATTAATGGTCACGAGAATGCTTCAACAGTACGTTTATGGTAACTTTCCATTTGCACCGTGGTGACCTAGAATCTATTGAATTGCGATATTTTCCAGTAAAAAAACACATAAACTTACGAATCTTACCTTTTTAATCCTAGTGAATGAACATGACGCAGACGACGACAAAAATGGCTCAACGGACAAAACGATTCGCAATGCTGTGATTATCGCTGGTGTTGTTGTGGTTGTCCTTTTCCTCATTATAGTTATTGTGCTGCGTGTGAGAAGACAGAGAAAGCACAGGGAAGAGGAACTCAGGAAGAAGCAAAGAGCCGAAATTTCAAGAAGCCAACCGAAAGGAATTTCATACCACGGAAAAGCTGGTGAAGAAATCGACATGAAAGAAATGGCTGGAGACTTAAATATCGAACCTTAATTCGGTGATTGAGATTCAATACCTGCTTTTAAATGAGAACCATTTAAATAACGATATCATAATTGCTTTTCTACACTATCTATGAACCCTTACATCTATTCTGATATATCTATTCGCATAACTGGTATATTTAAAAAAATTCTTTAAGAATGATTGCGAACTGGGAATACTGGGATCTTATTAGCACCATAAAAATAATTATATTTAATGTATAAATACCTAAATAGATATCGTAAGTTTGCAAGCACACCACATTATACGACTATACTTAATGACGCTAAATACTTACACAATTTGCATTGAACACTGTTCTTCTACAAAATGGGTTAAGTTAGCACGGTTCTTGTTGTAGGGGTCATTTTCTTAAATAGACATTATTATTGAAATCGTGTCTTTAAATATAATTGGGTAATACACTTGATTCTGCATGCCATATTTCTCTTAAAATCACCGAGAGCTTGGTGATATAACTAAAAAAACTGATTACAGAACTACTTTTACAGCTTCTTTCGTTTTGGGGCTATATTGCAACAAAAAAATGTGAATAATCTTTAACTCACATTTTTTACGGAAACAAAATTCAAGTAAATTGAGAAATTATGCCAATCGTGAGGATAAACGGCTTAAATCAGGATATTATTGTAACATGGCCAGAAAATTCGGACATATTTAACATTCTACTTCCGCCTAAATTTGCATATGGTGTCAAAATAAAGCTTCGTGAGTTTATAGTAAACTGTAATGTGCACAGTACTAAACGCTAAAAATACACCTTTAGGTAGGTCAATTATAATTTGCCTTAATTGCTCGTTGCAGAGCAAGTTAATCTTAATATTTTTATACAGTATTTCAAAATGTTTTATCAGTATTCGTCCTGCATTTTCAAAACAAAGTTTTGGTCATTTATCACGTTGAATACCATATAAAACGAAAACCGTAATAGCGTAGAAATAAAATAAAAATGCAGAGCCGACATAAACCTTTGCCAGCAAAATATTACCTCAGGATCTTCAATATGACACGAGTTACAAGAAACAACCAGGGCAAATAGCAAAGATGAAATGATTTTCTTAAATTTTGCAAAATTTAAGAATGCGCAATATAATTTATAGTTCTGCAAACGAATAATATTTGAACAGATATGCAAATTTGCTACGGCAATCTGCATATTCCATGTCCGCAATTTCTGGCCATGACTCATGATTATTGAAGAAGCGAGCAATAATATAGCTCTAAGATGTGGAAAGCTATTAAGGAATCCTTGTTTTCTAAATGTCAGAATGATATAAATGCTAATTTAGTTGATGGGAAATTAAGAACGGCTCCCAAGGGAATTGCTGAAAGTCTAAATCAGCACTTTTCAAGCATTGGCAAGAAACTAACAAAAATTTTCTCAACAGTAAAGCTTGATCCATGTATAAGTTCATGTTAATGTTTTGAATTCCAGCCAGTTACAATAAAGTTTGTTAAAGAACAGCTATGTCGTTAAAAACCAACAAGGCTATTGGTATCGATAAAATCAGTGTCCGCCTGCTTCGTGATGGTGCTGCTGTTATTGCTCCATCTTTGTTATATTGATAACTTATCTTTTCGAAATGGATAGTTTCTGTGGACCATATCATATAGACCATACCATAATGCTCCAGAAGCTGAGGAGTCTGGGGATAAGGACCACACATCTTACATGGTTCAATTCTTATCTTTCAGCTCGTACACAGAGCACAGTGATTGGTCAAACCTCATCCACAACACGCAAGGTCACCGTGGGAGTTCATCAGGGGTCCATTTTTAGTCCCTTATTTCTATTAATGCGAATGAATTAACCAGTTGCCTAGTTAACACCACTGCAACATTGTCTGGTGATGACACAGCGATTTGCTGTTCTTCAAAATCAGCATCGCAGTTACATAAGCTTTTGTTACAGAAACTTGCTTTGAATATTAGTAAATCTAAATCCATGCTAATTGGGTGAACGAATAAACTCAAATCCTTTAATCAATTTACTCTCGATATTAACACTGAAGTGGACAGGGTAGAGTCCTTTAAAATACATAGGTGTAGTTATTCAGGAGACTTTGGATTCCTGGAAAGACCACGTAGATTATGTTTGCAATAAAGCATATATATAAACGTATCGGAATTCTCCGAAGAATAAAGCACTGACTACCAATGGCTACAAGGGAATTGTTTGTTAAGACAATGATCTTATCATTATTAGATTATGGGGGTATTGTATGGGGAGGCGAGCATAATCAAATCTTGATGCAGAAGATACAAGTCATCTAAAACACTGCTGGAAGAGTATAATTCTATAGATACACCTAAACAATCATCGACTACTGAAGCTCTAGCAGATTTGAAATGGAAGAAATGGAAAATGTCAGCATACATTGTTTCATTTTTATCTACAAGGGAATGAATGGTCTTTTGGATTAGAATTTTAATTTTTTATCGTTTACTGACATTCACAATTATAGCACTCGTAATAAAAACAATCTAATTAAGCCAAAATGAATTCAAAGAATACCTGGGGACAAAACTGCTTTGTCTGTCATTACGTTGATGATTGGAACAATCTTCCGGCCGGAACATATTAGAACACTACCTTTTATTAGTTTTAAGATTGCAATTAGCAGTTCTTAAATTCTCTGACTTTTTTATCTTTTATAGTCTATTGATATATTTATTAGTATCTTCGTTCATCGAAAATCGCAATTTGTGAGTGGGCTCCTTGATGAAAGAACGTTGTTAAGTTTAATCAAAAATTAAAATTAAACCATTCCAAGGACAGGGCCTATATTGAGCCTGCGGTACTGCACCTTTTGTGCTGCATACGTTGTTCTGCACACGTGATGCAGCATTGATTGAAATATGTGTAGTATTGAATGTGGTAATGAAAAACTGCAGAAGTGTTAATATATTTCATACTGCAAACTTGTAAATATATTTCATATAGCAGAAGTATTGATATATTTAAAAGCTGACAAATATGCAACGGCCGCCATTCTAAATAATATATCTTGGATTGGAGAACACTTACATTAAAATAGGTGATTTGACTTTGTTTAACACACCATTAATGTAACACTGCATTTTTAGACCGCATAAAAATGTGAGATTTCTTTTTGATAGATTGATGTTCTTATTCATGAGAACTCTATGTCGGCACAAGAACACCCATTCATTGATTGGAAGCGGAGCAGTTGCAAAACAGTGCCAACTATTTATCTTAGATTTCCACCGATGGAATGTTAACGTAACTTTGCCATCATTATGTTTTGATTTAAAAACACTTTGCATTGGTGCAGCTCAACCCAACCCAACATTATAGCGTCGCTAATCGTTCGTACATAATATATAAACGTTTAAATAATCTTCATCAAAGGGCGGATAATGCCCACAAGGCGAGCTTAAACCATCAACACAGAGCTTCAAATATGCGATTATTAGATATTAAGTAGTACTTAAAAGAACACTTGACTGCATAAATCCCTTTATACATTCTTTAAATTGTTTAATTTTCCAACTTGCCATGCAAGTTGTAGTGCAAATTCTTTTGATTTGCATACCAAATTTTTGCGATATGATGGTTAGAGGCTTGCAATTTGCAAGCAAGATGCGAGTTTTGTAATGGGAAGCTCCGGTCACTGGCAATTCCATTGCAATTGCAACAAAATCGCGCAGAGTAACCTTTTCGTTACTGCTATATTTACACTTACCCGGTCTAGAACACTTCTGTTTGCCGTCACCGATAAGTCCTTTCGCACATTTACAGAAATAACTTCCAGGGGTATTGATACAGGTAGCGTTTTGGTGACAATCATCAAGAGCTTTATTGCACTCGTCAAGATCTAGATAGGTTTTGAAATAATCTCGAATATTCACTTTTTGTGATGAAAAAACGAATAAGAAGTTCTAATTAGTTACTACCAGATGTTTTGCTCATATACATGTCAAATTCAAATCGAATGATGAATATATATTTCGATTTAATCCGACTTTAACATAGCAGGGCAATGTAGCATATATTGGTCAATAGGCCTAATAATTGGTCCGTACGTGTAATCTACAGGGTGACCCAAAAAGTACCCACAATTGAGTTATTTTATTTTGAACACCCATTGTGACATAGTATTATTACATAGTGGGTTTAAGATACACCAAATCTACGACGTGACATGAAAATGCTTCTAGCGTGAGGAAACCAGTAATAATTTGTTTTACAAATGGCTCTGACTTTCTTTATCAAAAGGAGTCTATAATTTCCATCGCTTTTGGGAAACTGTGGAAATTTGAGCAGCATTACTTCACACTCGCGTCGTAGATTTGGTAAATCTTTAAACTCACTATTAACATCAAAAGAGTGATCTAAACAGGGTCGTTTTTTGGAACACCAAGGATTGATAGCATTGTGTCTGTAGATGTTATGGAAGTTAGTCAATTCCCATTGCATTCTTTAAATTTGGTTGTCACATTCACGTGCGAAATACATAAGGCAAACCTATACTTTTTGCGTTCAGGACTTATTTTTCTTATAACGCTGCACTTCATAACCTATGGCACTATGTCACTATGAGCATGCGTACTACAAACCTCTCTGATATTTCTGGTAATTTAATAGTTACTTTACTCAAACTCACCAAAACATTGTTTACCATCGCCCGTGAAACCATGCCGACATTTACAGGAAAAATATACTCCACTGTTGGTGCAGATAGCATTGGAATGGCAAACTTTGTGCGATTCTTCACATTTGATCACATCTGAAAGGCAAATATATATATGTTTTTACGAGATTGGAGGTCCTAGTTCCCAAGTTCTCAAAAACAGCCTGAGGCCGAAGGCCTCGGGACGTTTTTGAGACCGAGGAAAATTTTCCCTATGCGTACCGACTAAACTGGTAAAGAGTATATTTATTTTTTTTGATTTCCCACCCGCCGCGTGCGTGCTTTAAAATCTCGTGCGGCCCGTACGGCCCCTCATACGGACCGCTCGCATGGCCAATCAGATTACAGGAAACGCTAAAATATTTAACCGGACCGCATAATTAACAGTTTTTTTGCGAACTGGAGTCGTATACGCTGATAGTTGACGAGGCGGGCTAGTTATTTGTCATATACGACGAGATTGAGAAAAAAACAAGCGCTGGATAAAAACAAATTTCAAATTCATTTGTTATTTAAACAATAGTGAATACACTTTTTTAAAAATTGAATAACTAAATAACGTATCGTGGTTTTTTCAAGGTTGTCACCCTTTCGGTGCACTTTGGTGTACTTTTATCAAGGAAACTTGAGTTTCATCGTCGAGTAACTCTCTCAAACTTGCAACCATTTTCTTTACGTTTCTCTATACTAGACAGATATGAGCTAATATCTGTCTAGTAGAGAGTCAACCAGATTTCACATTAGTCATGAGCTCATATGCAGCGCTTGTTTATATAATAATAAACTTAAAGGGTCCCATCTCATGCTGGGCTTGTTTTCCTTTACACGTTTCCTTGCCAAATTTTATTTGCTCGTGTGTACTGTACGCGAACAAATTGGCAAGTTTTCCCTACAGTCGAAAATCGTAATCGCATTGGTAGATTTTTATTTTAAAATATTCTTTAGGGATCCATGACCAATAGCGTTGTTATGATAAGATATTTTGAATTTAAAATTAAGCCTTTTAATTTATTCTGCCTAACCCTAGACTCGCAACCCACGGGTAGTGTCGCAGCTCCTCGCCAAAGTGATTTTCATCGGCTGAACTTTGCAATACATTTCTGTTTCAACAAATAGTATATAGCTTCGTTCTTTAAAACGCATAGAAAAGCATTATCCAATTGGACGAAAGCTTCCGAGAGCTGCGACATGACCCTCCGCAACTGCTTTTCAACAAATAAAAATGCTCGTGTGTACGGCCGTCAAGGAAAACATGACAAGGAATTGCGCAGTAGGGAACAGCACAGTAGGGAAAAGCGCGGGTTTTTGAAGTTTTATCATTTGTTTTGTTTTGAGATTCGGTCGTATGCTCATTTTATCAAGGCTCATATTATCGTAAATAATTATATCCTTATATTATCGTAAAATTTGTCTAGAAAATTTCGTCATTTTTTCGCGTTCACATGCAGGAGCAAATAAAACGTGTCAAGGAAAACGTTTTTCTCCATACAAAAGAGCAAGAGAACTAGTTAGGAAAGCTTGTGAAGTAAAACTTGCCCGTCTCTACGGGCTTAATTGTGGTAAATTTCAAGATTTTTGCAATCACTATATTATTTACATCTGTGAGAATAGCAAACTAGTAAAGTAATTTTTATTTATAGTGTATAATACACATTGCAATTGAACAATGACTGCCACGTTCAAAGATTCAAACAACTACAAGCTCGCATGAAAAAGGGGCACATTTTGGTGTTTTCAAGGAAAAGGAAGGGTACGTGTCCCTGTACCGTTAAACCAGGAACCTTTGGATGAATTATAAGGTTCACGACGCAATCATAGCACAAAATTAATGAACAATCAAGAATGGTATAATCCTTATGATTTCGAGTTATAAGGTAACATGGGAAAAAAATGGAGTAAACTCAGGAATCGTCATAAACAGCATGTCACTCACTATTCGAGATACTTTTTAACGTCGACTTTGCAATTAGAATACGCACGTTAATGCAATATTATAGTCTTTGTTGGAGTTCATTTGTATTCGATTTGGCACATAAAAATTCAACGTCTGAAACGGGCCTTAAACTTTTTTTAACCGAAACTATGGTCACCACATCATTAGAACTTTTTCGTTTGCTGCAAACTTACCTTTACTACTAGGTGTTACTGAGAGTGTTGTCAAAACATCTGCAGTGAAATAAACAAATTATGTAATAGACCATTACAATTGTTAAGCCATACAATTTGTAACCTACTTGTTGAGGTGTAAATGGGCAGAATCGTTGATAGGTTCCCGTAAAGCTCGGATGTGGTGACAACGCTGGTAATATGTATCGGTATAATTTCTGATGACGTATGGATTACAGGCGATGCGATCCTGTTCCCTGCAGATGAAAGAGTCCTCAAATTATAATTAGCACAATATTTTTGACAAACGTCGGCATGGTAATTCTTCATATCATGTTTAACCTCATTCAATAATTGTTAAATATGTCATCAGTGAGTGTAGGTAGATAACGTTATTCATTGGTCATAAAAGTTAGAATACATTAATTGTGCACTGTGTATAATAGAGTGCATGCACGGCTTAAACCTAAATTCAAAATATTTCAATCACATTAATAGTTCCAAGAAGTATTCAAGCTAGCAGTTTAAGATTTGATGGTTACGTAAAAAGCAGCATTTATTTATGAATTGAAAATTTGCATATTAGGCTAATTTCTTCTTCAGGGGCAGGAAAATGGAAAGAAAAAACTGCAGCTTTATAGCTACTTTGTTAATACTAGCTATTTTTGAATTGTTATACATTCTTTCAACACATGAATGTCACAAGGGTTATGATAAATTATATTGAAAATATAATCAGAATTTTTACCAACCTGCTACAGTTGAAGATGGCAAAACTGTTGATATCAAAGGCTTGACGACTTCGGTGGAGTTAGAACTCAGCAAAAAAGGAAGCGTTGTAGAAACACGGGCATCTAAAACCATTGACGACGAAAGGATTACAGACGATGCAATCATGGCTACTGCAAACGATGGAGCAGGTAGATATTTTTAATTAAAATTACAAAGCTAACGCGATTATTGAAAATTGTGGACACTGTTGGTCAACACGCATAAAAAGTACATTTTCAAACGTTTCAAGACCATATTTTCCGTATTTTATGTTTCAAAGGAAAAAAAGTGACTAATTTTGTTGATATGATTCTTTTACTGTAGCTACCTACAAAAAAATACTTCCTATAAATGTTTTACGTTACTTTCAACACATAGTCACAAGAGTTACAATAAATTATAATTATTCAGAATATAATCAGAATTTTTAACAACCTGCAACAGTTAAAGACGGCAAAACTGTTGACTTCAAAGGCTTGACGACTTCGGTGGAGTTAGTACTCAGTGAAAAAGGAAGTGTTTTAGAAACACGGGCATCCAAAACCATTGATGACGTAAGGATTACAGATGATGTAATCATGTCTTCCGTATTTTATGTGTCAAAGGTACAATAAAGTGACTTTGTTAATAAACTATGATTTTTTTACGATGGCTTCTAACCGATTTTTCTGTCTAAATTGTTTTACATTCTTTTTCAACACAATGTCACAAGTATTATAATATAAATTATATTGAAAGTTGAAGATGGCAAAATTGTTGATATGAAAGGCTTGACCACTTTGGTGGAGTTAGTACTCAGCAATAAAGGAAGCGATATAGAGAAGGTAAATAGTTTTTATTATATGTGTATAGAGATTTATGCACAGCAGAATGATGAAATAATATTTCACTGTGTAAATTAATTTCATGCAATTTTATTGAACGTACGATGTTTTTCATGCGTGAAAAATGCCATACAAGGCTTTTGATTGGACGTACGATATTCTTCACACGTGAAAAGATTGTCGTATGTCATTTTGGCGGTAATTTGTTTACATTTTCTTTCAAGATGGCATCGAAATAGGGGAGGGAGATTCAAAACATAATTCTCATATTCAAGATGTTTTCACATTCAGCACATTCTCAAATCTTTCAGAAAGAATCTCTAAATTCTATAGAGCAAAATTACAAAGAAACTGAACGGTAATACATATGTTTGATGCATAAAATTTCGATTTTGTTGCTCGCTGTGTTTTTGTATATTCCGCCAAAGCGTGACGTTGTCGAATTGATTTATAAACACATTCAATAAACAAATTACTTCATGGTTGACTCGTTTGTACGATTTTGTTATGAACTCGTTGTGAAAGATCGCAAACTCACTCGTTCGCTACGGTCACTCGTTCGTTTTGTTATCCTTCACAACTTGTGCATAAAAATCGTACGCACTCGCCAACTATGAAGTAATCTCTAGTTTTATTAGATACAAAGCTAAGGTGATATTGAAAATTCTGGGCACTCGTTGGTAAAAAGGCAAGAAAAAAGTACATTTGTAAACATTTCAAGACCATATTTTCCGTATTTTTATGTTTCAAAGGAAAAAAAAGTGTCTTTTTTGATAAACTATGATTTTTTTTCGGTATAGCTTCCTACCGATTTTTCTGTCTAAATTGTTTTACATTTCTTTCAACACAATGTCACATGCAAGGGTTACAATAAATTATATATTGACAATATAATCAGAATTTTGACCAACCTGCTACAGTTGAAGATAACAAAACTGCTGATATCAAAGGCTTAACGACTTCGGTGAAGTTTGCACTCAGCGATAAAGGAGGCGTTATAGAAACACGGGCGTCTGAAACAATTGAAGTCGTATGGATTACAGACGAGGCAATCTTGTCCCCTGCAAAGGATATAGAGAATGCAAGTAGTTTTTATTATAATTACAAAACTAAAGGGTGATCATCGGAAATTTTGAAGAAAATTTTCTATAGCTATTATCACCTTTGTAATTATACTAAAACAATGATTTGCCCTTAGATTCGGTGAATAAACTAAATAAAAACCTGGTCGTCACGCGGTATGTATACTCAGGGGCATTCATGCACCTCGCCTTCGGTGCTCATTATTTGTAGTATTACATGTAAGAATAACGTTTTGTTACACTATTTTTTAAAAATGAGATTATATTGAATGAATTCAATAGCTAAGACAGCTTCAATAAACAGGCACAAAAATGGCTTTTTTATGGAGGCACACGCACACATCGGCTGTCGGGGCGTTACTCTAGCCGTTTAGCTAGAATATCAAAACGGACACCAACAAACCTGAATACTTGGTGGCTGGGCCCTAATATTTGGTATGGATTAAAAACAAATTTATTACGGATGCTAGTTTACAGAATTAGGCATATTGGTTGACAATATCGAAAAAAGATACCAGTTTGATATCCGTAATCAGAGACACTGATGACACGTAATACATACGCTTGTATTAAAAATGCTCACTCACACTCGAGTGTAGGAACATGAATTTTGTTACTACTAGTCATTGAGAAAGTTATTTCTTGATCGATTATAACATTTGAGGTAAAACACTGAAATTTAGGCTCTGATATTCCATAGGAAATATCGAGCCTTAGATAGAGTTTGAGTGTATAAAGAAAATTACCCCCATGGCTTGAATATCGATTATGTTAATGTCGATGAGGAACTCGGATAAGATACAATAGCCAGATGATGTGTCAAAAAACTTAAAGAAGATCTTAAAGAAGGATGTATTCAATTTGATGATTTGCAGGAGCAGTTATTCATTAGCTTTTCAACGATACCTTTCCTTAGTTCATATAACAGCAAATATTTTTAAATTAAATTAAGTTAATGTTCGAAATAAATTTTTCCTGATTGAAGGCAAAACGAGGCTATTACACTATGAAATTTTCCCTGCAACTTGCAATGCAATTCTCATTTTGAGGGATGTTAATTTGTAGAGAGTGTCCGAAATTCAAGGCGTGAGACGTCGCAGATCGTAGAAAATGTTCGTATATAACAACTTTAGTTGCCTGCCTCAATAGTACAAGTGCATTGCACGTTGCAAGGAAAGTTGCATAGTGTAACAACGTCTTAATTCACCGATTTGGTAAATACACAAATTCGATTCTTCGATTTGGTAAACACGCAAACTAAAAGAATACCATACATGCCTTAAAAACCTTTTATTTGTAGCTAGCATGTACTCTGGCTAAAGGTATTCAAAACAATGACATATAATGGTGTTTATTTATTAATCAATTCTGAAAATATAATTAAATATTATTGGCGCCAATCTCACGGAGACTCAATAAATATTATTATATAACTTGCAAAACTGGAATCAAATTTATAAGAATAGTTGTCCGAAGTGGAATGCATGTCCAACGAGTTTGTAAACTTTGACCGCATTTAACTACAATATTCATAAATAGCTATATGCATAGGCTTCAAACATTTCTACTTTTAGGCTTGGGAGAGAAAGAAAATTTTAGGCTCAGGGTTTGATCGGTTCACGTCGTAAGTTAACACGATAATCTAGAACCTCCAGTTAAATCACAGGTTGAAAAATTGTGAAAAATATCCCATTGTATAAACAAAGAAGTTTGCTTGCCTTAACATTCTCATATGTATTTTTAAGCATCGTTAAACCACACAGCATTATTAAGCAAATGGCTGTTTGATGCGCGGAAATGATCTATTACCTGCACAATAAGCGGATGCACAAGTTGTAGGCTCTTTCAATCGATACAGGTAAAAATCGCTCGGGCATTTAACAACTTTTATGGCAAAAGATTGGCCACAGCCAACAGGAAGGGTGTACGGAACGGCTGCACATGCTTTAGCATCAACAACAAGATTCTCAATGGATGGATGAGTTCCTTGGAACCAAATTGGAACGTACGTGCCACAACGTTGTAAACCTGGATTTGTTGTGGGCATTGTATTACCAGCTGCACTTTGAAATCGATACCAATGATCCTCGACGATATATCCTCGATCGCATGAGTAGGGCGTTTTACTTTCAAACGCTGTACTACGACGAGTGTCGTTTATTATTGTGTAATTAACGCTATCGCAAAATGTCGCACCTAGAACTCCTTGAGCGTGGTACAAAACGAACAGAAGAAACGGTAGAATTGCGTCCATATTCTACATGTCATATGAAAATATGCTTTAATCGCGACGTTAAATATAATGTTGTTGAAATTATTGATATTAGCATGACAAAGACGTTGACATTTTTAGAATGATTTGAAATATAGCAAGACATGAATTGTAAAGACAGATTTCTAGAACGGCTTAACGTTTTAAGCTTCTTAATGTTTCAGTAATTAATGAGTTTCCGAGGGAACTTGATTAGGAAAGCAAGAATGCAACAATAATTAATATATATATAATATATATAGTATATAAAATATATATAAGATATATATTATATGTCATTACAATTTAATCTTTTGTAATTTCCTGCCTCTGATGTTTAATAAGGAAAACATCAAAACAGTACAAAACCTGAACGGCAAATGTATAATCATATACTCTAACGATGTCGTAATAGTTTAAATATAGCGGCTTATGCCTTTGAAAACCAATCGTCATACCAAAGCTAATTATTATACGGATATATATATAAGGCGCTCTGACAGCAAACGGCCAGTGTGTCGTCGTTATAGTCTAGCAGGTCTATTGCTTCCAATATATTGGTGTGATTACAACATTTCTGTCAGTTGTTTGATTTCTAAGACAAAGACAATTATTTCTCAACATTATTTAGTGTACAATGTGCACAACGAGCCCTCAGCAGGAGTTGCAAGGTTTTTAAATCATGTGTTAAAATAATGATTCGATGCTGCATGGATATAAAACAGTGTATAGTAAAAAATCAAGTATTGTCTTCCGTTAAACACCTTCGACGTCTAACCGACTTGTTAGTAATTGTTACCAACTAAACCTAAGCGGTATATTCAGCATGCTCGCCTTTTACGCTATTATAAGGAATTTTGCATACAAGCAAATAATGCAGTCATGCCAAACCTTCGAATATTTAGAATTAAAACGTTCCTGCACAGTAAAATTGTAAATTCTATTAAATACGTCACCCTGACTCACCCAATCTTATTCCCTTGGCATTTTGCCTCCGCATACAACGATAATGACAATTAACAACGCTACCAACAACAACAACAACAACAACAACAACAACAACAACAACAACAACAACAGCAACAATAAACAGACTAGCTGCAGACCAGTTCTTGTCCAATTAAATATGAATTGCAATAATAGAAAACGTTTTACATTCAAGAGGCCATTATAGTTATTAGGCCATGCAATGATATTTTTTCTACCTACCTGCTAAGGTGTTAAATTCGAGATCCGTTGGTAGGCTCCCGTAAAGCGCGGATGTGGTGACGACGTCAGTGGATTTAGTTTTCACAGTTGCAGCCAGTTTTGTAGAAATCTCCATTGGCATATTTTCTGATAGTGAATGGAGTACAGGCGATGGAATCCTGTCCCCTGCAGATGATAGAGTGCATTGTAATTAGCAGTATATTTGCATGTCTTTATTGCCGATAGGATCTTTAAAACGAAGTGCATACTATGGCTGCCAGTAAGGAGAATTATTTGATTAGAGCCCCGATAAATCATGGATAAAAAGTCAGCAAGTTAGCAATTATAAATTCAGGAGTGTAGATTTTCTAGATGCATGTATCACCAGTTGGGACCAGTTGTACGAAGGCTGGATAGCGCTATCCACTGGATAGTGATTTGTTCAACTATTCTAAAAATGCACGAAAAACGATAAAAGTTGATCTTTGAAACCAACAATTAAGTTGAAGAGGATCTATGATTTAGGAATACGAAGATTTAATCAAAGTTATAGTAAACAACGAACGATTTTTAAGCGATTGAAAAAAACACTATTCGATAGATAGCGCTATTCGGCTTTCATACAACCCACCCCTGGTGTTTTTCTATATCTGTAGCTCTTCATCTTGTATTTCAAACATATAAGTCAGATAATAATTTTGTAAATTGTATGACTGTAGATTGTACTGCGGCTGATATTTAAAGAAAATTCTTAAAATCGACAATAAGCTAAACTTTAACTTAATGTTGATTATTTCTTTTAATATCGCTGAAATATCAGCTGCGGTCTTTTAAACCTAACAGGCGACTACAAGTAACTATTAACATGTAATTTATAGAATACATGCATCAACGGCCTTGTCACTGGTTACGAATTTTTATGGAATACTTTTGAATTATAAAAAACCAATGAGAATGCAAATTTATTGCAAATTTCAATTTCGTAAACCGATCGGTTTAAAACATGCAATGATGTAATTTTCGACCTTTGCTGCAAGATGCCTTCAGTGAATTATGTTAAATTAAATAATATCGACTGCATGTAAAACGTCCACACATTAAAGAAGCTATTAAAATTGTTCAGCGACGTAATATTTTTTTTTACCTACCTGCTGATGAGTAACTTTGCAGAACCCTTACCCTTGGTAGGATCTCGTAAAGCTCGGATTCGGCGACGACGTCGGTGGGTTTAGTTTTCAGTATTGCAGCCAGTGTTGTAGAAATATCCATTGGAATATCTACTGATGGCGTATGTATTACAGACGATGCAATCCTGGCTCCTGTGTACGATAGAGTGGATTATAATTAGGAGTATATTTTTGCATGTATTTATTGCTGATAGGGACGTTGTTAATAATATATTAACAACGACAACGACAACGACATCAACAACGACAACAACAGGAGCCTATTGAAGATGTATAATATAATTATATAGATTGTGTGGCTGCGGCTGATATTTCTGCAATATTGAAAGTCAATTCTCATAATCAACATTAATTTAAACTTAACTTAACTTAAAGTTGATTATTTCTTTAAATATTGCTAAAATATCAGCCCTGGTCTTCCAAACCTGAGCACAACTACAGGGTGTATAAAAAAAACGCAACACTTAATATTCACGAATATCCTCTTTGTTCTACAACACAAAAGACGTTTGGCCCCTGGAATGCGAGAAAGCTTGTAATCATATTCTAGGCACAATCATCGGTAAACAAAGTCGGGTGCGTAAACCAACGAGCTGAATTGAAAGTATTTAACAAGTAAAATTTTATTTACAATTTATTTTACAAGGTCGACAGTTAGCATTCAAGTTATCATGCACGACAATAAAAACTCGTTGTTCGGTTGTTAGCTGCACCATTATTAGTTTAGCTGATTTGACTATTAGCAGAAGCCATTTTAAAATCCCAGGGGCATAAAATCCATTGAGCTTATGAACAATATGAATTTTAGAATATTAAGATGGTTGCGTTTTTTTTGAGACACCCTGTACAAGTAATTATTGTTGTAATATGTCTGTCGTGAAAATGTGTCAAATGTCATGTTTGTCTGTACAGTTGTTGTGTGTGTATTATATATATATTCATATAATTATATTCATTTATGTGGAAAAAGAATAAACTTGAAAACAGGGGAAATAATGCGCGCAAACAAACGCACGTCCAACCACGAAGAAGGAAACCGCCTGTCCCACACGCTAACGCAAACGGATGGAAAAATGGGGGCAGTGCGGTTAGAGAGTTAACTGCGTTGCGGGAAAAAACATCCTGGGACGTGCATAAATTGCGCAAAGGAAATTGATGTCAAAATGGAATAATATCCCCTATAGCTTTAGTATAAATATATGTAAAATTGTAAACTTTAGGTTAGTGTTGTTAGGAGAGTTGTATTGTGTGGTGTGTTGTCACCGTAACGTCAGAGTGAGTGTGTCTATCTTAAGCGTGTCGTCTTAAGAATATTGTGTCATCCACGTGCACTAAGTGTGTACAAAATATACCTGTACATAGAGTGTTAATAAAAGTTAAAAATGCAGTCCCCGAGTTGTGGTATTCGTTGAATCTGGTGCCAGCAGCAGCGTAACTTGCAGAGAGGCGAAGTTGCGCGACAATGTCATTTACGATATTTCTCGAGAAAATTCTGTTCAAATGCGAATCAATCATCAAAGGTATTACATGCAGAGTAAACTAGTCCAAAACTTAAAATACCTCAATGGCCTTGTCACTGGTTAATGCGAATGCAAATTCATTCCAAATTTCAGTTTCGTAAACCCATCGGTTTAAAACATGCAATGATATAATTTAATTTTCCATCTTTGCTGCAAGATGTCATCAGTGAATTATGTTAAAGTAAATAATATCGACTGCATGTAAAACGTCTACACATTGAGGAAGCTACTAAAATTGTTCAGCGATGTAATAAAGTTTTTTATTTTTACCTACCTGCTGATGAGTAACTTTGCAGAACCCTTACCCTTGGTAGGATCTCGTAAAGCTCGGATTCGGTGACGACGTCGGTAGATTTAGTTTTCAGTATTGCAGCCAGTTTTGTAGAAACATCCACTGGCCGAATAGTTATTGGTGGCGTATGGATTACAGTCGATGCAAACCTGGCGCCTGTGTATGATAGAGTGGATTATAATTAGGAGTATTTTTGCATGTATTAATTGCTGATAGGGATATTTAAAAGGAGGTGTATAATTGGCTCGCCAGAATTGAACAAACAGCGATGTAGAGTTCTCATCATACAGACTTTCCAAATATCACATATTTTCTAAGTATTTATTTGATTTCTTTGGCCTAATACTCTACATCGTAAAACTCCTGAATTTTAACAACAACGTGTTTCTTATTTTATGTTTGTCACGTGGTCCATGCTTCCACTTAATTTATGCATAAATGTCAATAATAATACTATATATTGTTTTCACGAAACAATAATGTATATTAACAACGACAACGACAACAACACGAACCTATTGAAGATGTATATGATTGTAGATTGTGTGACTGCGGCTGATATTTCTGCAATATTGAAAGTAAATTCTCATAATCAACTGATCATTAAGCTAAACTTAACTTAATGTTGATTATTTCTTTAAATATCTCTGAAATATCAGCCCCGGTCTTCCAAACCTGAGCACGACTACAAGTAATTATTGTTGTAATATGTCATTTACGATATTTCTCGAGAAAATTCAGTTCAGTTGCGAATCAATCATCAATGGTAATAACATGCAGAGTAAATTAGTCCTAAACTTATAATACCTTAATGGCCTTGTCACTGGTTACGGATTTTTTAAGGGATACTTTTTAATTATATCAGCCTACCTGCTGAGGTATAAATTTGCTTGGATGTGGTGACGACGTCGATGGATTTAGTTTTCAGTGTTGCAGACAGTTTTGTAGAAACATCCATCAGCACAACGTCTGATGGCGTATCGATTATAGGCGATACAATTTTGTCTCCTGCAGATGATAGAGTGGAGTTTAATTTGCAGTATTATGGAATGATGTTGGTCTTTAAAACGAAGTGTATAATTATTAGCCAGTAGGTAAAATTTTTTATTTATTGGAGACCGTAAATCGTGGATATGAAGTCAATAACAACAACACCAATAAAGGGGAAATATTGAACTAGGAAAAAATTGCAATATTCTGAGAGTGAAATCTGAAAGGTAGGTAGTTCAGAAAATAGGGATATTAAACATTGTATGGTCGAAGATGTTGTGAAAGGGTCGTGAATAGTCATTAGTTGATGCGTGTGAAATTTATTCACAAGCAGACTTGTTATGATTTACCAATGACTGTTATAATTTACCACATTGGTAAATACATAAATATATTTTGTCCATAACTATCACTCAAAACTTTCTTAGCTACTGTATCATGCACTCTTGGACCAATGAGGTTCGTTCGTTCGTTCTACCTGGTGTTCCAAAAAACCCCCCAAAACTAGAATTGAAATCACCTATTGTTCAAATTTGAATGACTTGTTTGAAAACTTTTAAACGTTGCTTAACATAACTTATGAACACCAACTACAAAAATTTATAATTTGCTTTTAAACAGTCCCACGGAGAGTTTTATAGAGTGGGCGGGGTCTTTGGCCTACCAGGGAGTAGCGGGGTAGTCCTAAAAAGAATACCCCCAGAAATTTTAATTTCTATAGCAACTCCTTAACGCTAATTAAAGTTTACTTTTACTTTAATAGCCCCCCCCCTTGAAAAAAAATTGGAGTCAAAGACCCCGACCACCTTACCCCGGCTCCGTGTGCCATGTTTTAGGCTGACATAGAAACCAAACCATTTACCTGCACAATAAGCGAAACCACAACTTGCGGGTTTTTTGAGTCGATAAAGGTAAAAATCGCCCGAACATTTAACAACCTTTATGGAAAAGGATATACCACAGCCAGGAGGCTGGTAAAAAGGAATGGCCGCACATGCCTTCCCATCAACAACAAGATTCTCGGTGGTTGGATGAGTTCCTTGGAACCAAATTGGAATCAGCGCGCCACAGCGTTGTGTACCCGGATTTACTGTGGGGATTGTATTGCCAGCTGCACTTTTAAATCGATACCAATGATCGTCGACGATAATTTTTTGATCACAGATGTAGGGTTGCTTACTTCTTAACGCTGTGCTACGACGAGTGTCACTTATTATTGTGTAGTTAACACTATCGCAAAATACCACCGTCGGCACAACGTCAGATGGCGTATCGATTATAGGCGATGCAATTTTGTCTCCTGCAGATGATAAAGTGGAGTTTAATTTGCAGTATTTTGGAATGATGTTGGTCTTTAAAACGAAGTGTATAATTATTAGCCAGTAGGTATTTTTTTTTAATTATTGGAGACCGTAAATCGTGGATTTGAAGTCAATAACAACAGCACCAATAAAGGGGAAATATTGAACTAGGCAAAATTGCAATGTTCTGACAGTGAAATCTGAGAGGTAGGTAGTACAGAAAACAGGGATATCAAACATTGTATGGTCGAAGATGTTATGAAAGGGTCGTGAATAGTCATTAGTTGACGCGTGTGAAATTTAAGGCGATTCTCCATTAAATCCGCTCCGCCCGCGCGGGCCAAGCGCACTTTGTTTTTTAGGCCGGTCACAGTCGCATGGGCAGAATTTCAAAGGCCGCTACGCCCGCGCGGGTGAAGCGGACGGTGATGCAGAATCGCCTTTTTCATAGGCAGACTTGTTATGATTTACCAATGACTGTTATGATTTATCATATTGGTAAATACGTAAATATATTTTGTAAAAGTATTACTAAAAACTTTCTTATAGCTACTGTATCATGCACTCTTACACCAAATAATTGTACACAAAGCAATGATGCAAAATGAGGTTTGTTCTACAGGGTGTCCCAAAAAACCCCCAAAAATACAGGGTGTCTAAAAAAACGAAAACTATTGAAATCACTCATTGTTAAAATTTGAATGTGTGTTCACAAATTTTAGTCCGTGCATGGGGATTTAATGCTACTTATAAAACGCTAAATACGAAAAATTTGAAATGGTGAGTATGATTAAATTTAAATTAGCCTTATTATTGCTTCGAAAGAAAACGGTACAGCTGACCGCGGAACAACGAGTGTTTATTGTGATAATTAGAGAAATTTTACTGCATCATGCATAAAAATGCTTATGGCAAACATTTATACACTTGTGGGTCCCACCATGAGTGCCGTTAGTCATTCAAACTCTAACAATTACATTGTTATGGGTGATTTCAATAGTTTTCGTTTTTTTGGGGACACCCTGTAGAATTGAAATCACTTATTGTTACAATTTGAACGACTTGTTTGAAAACTTTGTCCAGTGGTGATTAACATAACTTATGAACACCAACTACAAAAATTTATAGTTTGCTTTTAAACAGACCCACGGAGGGTGTTATAGAGTGGGCGGGGTCTTTGCACCACCAGGGAGTAGCGGGGTAGTGCTAAAAAGAATACCCCCAGGAAAATTTTAATTCTCTATAGCAACTCCTTAACGCTAATTAAAGTTGACTTTTACTTCAATAACCCCACCTCCAAAAAAATTTGGGGTCAAAGACCCCGGCCACCTTCCCCCGTTGCCATGTTTTAGCCTGACATAGAAACCAAACCATTTACCTGCACAATAAGCGAAACCACAACTTGCGGGCTTTTTGAGTCGATAAAGGTAAAAATCGCCCGGACATTTAACAACCTTTATGGAAAAGGATATACCACAGCCAGGAGGCTGGTAAAAAGGAATTGCCGCACATGCCTTCCCATCAACAACAAGATTCTCGGTGGTTGGATGAGTTCCTTGGAACCAAATTGGAATCAGCGCGCCACAGCGTTGTGTACCCGGATTTACTGTGGGGATTGTATTGCCAGCTGCACTTTTAAATCGATACCAATGATCGTCGACAATAATTTCTTTATCACAAATGTGGGGTTGCTTACTTCTTAACGCTGTGCTACGACGAGTGTCGCTTATTATTGTGTAGTTAACACTATCGCAAAATACCACCGCTCCATGCACTATTTCAGCGTGGTACAAGACGAGCAGGAAAAGCGATAGAATTGTGTCCATATTCTTCTTGTTATATATTCCAAGTGTCGTACAATATGCACTCTTCGCTCTTGGATACGTTGAAGCTTTCTAAAAATTAATGAATATTGGCAACCCAAAGCAAGACACTTTTTACCACAAGTCAATGATTATGCTTGAACGAGGATGTCAAGAATAGGGTAAGTATCTTCTGCATAACAAACTAAGTTGAACTTATAAGAATATACCTTTATAACTTAAATAGTTGTTATGTATAACTTGTAATTACGTGCATCGCCAACGCTTTCCCGCTCAATCTAAAGAGGTCGAGGTCGTTGTTTTTGATAGTAAAAAACAGGAAGACTTGGGGTTTTTAATTTCAATGAAATCCTTTACATTGCATGTTGTGAGATGAAAAATGTGTCTCAATTTTTCTCAAACTCTCTACATAAAAAGACGTCAGGGAAACGAGGCTACATAAAAAGTGAGTCAGTGTACAATGCTTTGGACGTCGTTTTTATAAGTACTGGTAGTGTATCAACACTTCCATGCACCACATGGATAGTATATTATGTTTTGTTAAAGACTTATAGTCAAAGAGCGGAATTATTGCAACGAGCATTTCAGGGACGGTGCCACGAAATTGAACCTGGGGGGTATATGGTGACTGACGTGGTTGCGCAACAGTATTAAAATTAACTAAATATTTCAGCGGAAATTAACTAAATATTTCACCCCCCCCCCCTATGCTCCCGTGCCTGGATTTATATAGTGCATGTATGGAGCGATGAGATGATGACTGTGCTAAAGAGGTAATGTGCATGGGATAATAAATATAGTGTAAAATACTAATTGTATTCCTGTCAGAACACAGAGAAATACAAGAGTCTACCCGACTTTTGAAACACAAAATGAAAGTACAGATAAAGAATTTGGCAGTATACGGCGTGTCCATCTTTAGTTATTTTACCGTATTGCTTTCGAAGTTGGTCCAACTCTGTGATAATGTCATTATACGCTGTGAAGTATTTCATGTTAGATACCAAAATATTTAGATATATGACAATATATAATAAGAATTTGCTACGAATCATTGCTTCTTAAACAACGGTATACTAAGATATCTTGTCCAGCAAATCCGATATAGTGTAAGCGGGAACTACAAAGTTTCGGTAATAGGATAACCACTTATGTCGGCAGCAAATTCAGGAAATAGTCTAATACGATATGTTGGCCCGTATTTATTTTGGTTTTTATTTAAACAAATTTATTCAACGATTCAAAATCTTATAAATTCCGTAAGAAATATAAAAAAATAATGCATGTTTAAAATCAAATATTTGCAATTGTATGTTTCATAACTCCGCACAAATTTCATATTAGCCTACTATAAGCCTTCGTGCTGTGATTTGCAATGGTATTTTTTTATGGATGATAAATAGTTCTAAGAGAGACGAGGGGTTGCGACGGTGTTCATTTGATCATTTTATACCAATACTGAAATACAGAAAAATATGCGCAATATCAGACTTACAGAATTGAAGTTATTCCGAAAAAAGTGTGCAAAATTTCACATTACACAATTAAATAAATCTGTGTGTTTCGAATCACTCGATTCATCTTCTGCAGATATTAACAAGATATTGCTTTAAGATATTGTTACTTTTTTCGGAATAAGTTTAATTCTATATTTACTTAAACTATCAGATGGTAAAGGGGATCAGACTTACCTTCCAGCTGGTAAGGCGAAGCCAAGAAAAGTAAATATCAAACCGAGAACGGTCCAAACACGCTGTTTGACTATGTTGTTATTGATAATGTCACTCTCTCACTGCCAAGATCTAACAATACCACCAATATCAACACATGTCGGGTATTTTGACAGCATGTATCAACTATTACCTACGTTAAGTTAGGACTGTCTTAGCTCTGATTCATGCTGCTTCTCCTTAAGCTGACTGTGAATATTTTCAAGCTTTATTAACCAAGGCAAACATTGTTATATGTATATTTTGCAAGGAGCAAATATAAATTTGTCACAGGATCGATACGTAAACTAATACTTTTGATATGCTAATTGTGAATTGATAGCGGATTCTGTTATTGACTACGCCTATTTGATGGGGCCTAAAAAGCGAACGTCAGTGCCTGATATCAATCTAATAAATAATCAGGCAGTTGCCTAGTGACAGGGCTTCTCCAAATGGCAATAAAATTTAATACAAGCACTTCGAGTACTCGAAATACGCAGCAACAGTATATCTTCTCCCTAGCTAGTTATACCTACAAAGCCCAAATATCAAAAAAGAGGTGCGAAATTGAAGTATTTCGCCGATAAAATAAAGTGTCATCATCATTTAGCGAGCGATGTCTCATCATTTGGCGAGCCGTGGATTCCTTTATCGCAGCAGTATAAATATTTTTCCAATCACTTAACAAAAAACTTCAAATCAAACTATTACTTGTCCAGCTTTATCGCGGAATTTAACACAATTAATTTCCATCATTTTGACAGCGAAAACGCGTTGAAGTGGATAATTATCATCAGCTTAAATCCTGCTTCTTATAATATTATCGTTAAGCCCTGGTCAAACGAGAATGATGATAGTTGATGAGAGTTGATGAGAGTTTCACTCGCTTGCGTTTGACCGCGAACTTTCATACACTCTCGTGCACTCTGATCAACTCTCATCGACTTTGAACTGGTTCAAATTTTGATGAGAGTTGATGAGAGTTGATGAGAGTTGATGAGAGTTGATGAGAGTTGATGAGAGTTGATGAGAGTTTGGGCGCGTTTGATCGGTCATAAGAGTTGATGAGAGTTGCAAAAGCGCTAGCGGTTTGCATTTCGTAGCAGACTAGACTCTGACTAGTGACAGAACAATAGTGCAAAATGTTTGGAAAACTCTCGTGCGAACTCTCGCTTCTCAACTCTCATCAACTATCATTCTCGTTTGACCAGGGCTTTACACTAATGATACTTCAAAATCTGTTTATCTTCGGCGATGTTTACGACATTAAGCCATTGTTGCTGACATGCAGCTACAGGAAAGAAATTCGTATTGAACTAATCGACAAATATCTTTAAAGCTTTCAGACTATATCAAAATGCCTAATAATGTATCTTTTTAGTCAATATGTATATATGTATGTAAACGAATTTACTCATGGTTTAAAAAGTTATTTATAGGTCTATATATTAGGATTATATATATATATTATATATATATATATATATATATATAATATATATATATATATATATATATATATATATATATATATATATATATGGATTTATCTATAGGATCGGAATAGACCTTTTCGAAAATTACGTCATAAGATTGGATCTCCCTGGAGTAAAGTGATCTCGCCATGCGCTTTACGCATGTTAGAAATCCTGAGTTTACAACAGAAAATTATTAGAAAGGCAACAAGGCAACAAGACTGGGGCTACAATATTAAGAGAAGATATTTATTAACAACAATTTTAGCGCTGATAAATTTTTAAATAGTTAAGTCCGATAATTATGCATGGGAAGAGAGAAATGTGCCAAAGTCTTCGTGTACAATGTATTAGTATAAAAAAGAACCATGTGGTGGGCAGATGCATGGTGCAACTATGCATTCTTGAAAAGACCGCAAATACACATAATGCCAAGTGCAGGTAGTTATTTCAAAATCGAAGCGATAACGATAATCTGCATTAATTTTTAGGGATCATGAATCATGATTCTCTTATACTTAGATGATTTGTTGAAGTCTAAGACAATAGTGATTTCCATGAGCGCGCCGCAGCACGAGTTCCATCCGGTGTTTTGTTTCCGCGTAATTAAGGTTTTCTTTAGAGCTTTCGAGTTTCGCAGGAATCTGCACGCGCTGCTAAAAATAAGCAAAGACCGATCGCTTCCAAATTCACAACTCCAGTATAGCAGGTATGTAAGATACTTTAAGAGTGTAGTATGGAAGCAAAAACTCGAATATATATTTTTTAGAAAAAACCAGACAGGGGCAGGTGTATGCATCATACCTTTATTTACCAGAATCTAAATATTGCTGTCTTGTGTCCCGCGGAATTTCATTCAAAGATAATATCCAAAGAGAAAAACATATACAGGTTGTATAAAAAAACTGCAAATACCATAATTTTTATGCACTTTAGAATTTCAATGACCGTGCAACTAATTACGCTTCTGGGATTTGAAAATACGTGCAGGATTATCAAAACAAGCACACAAAGTGAATTAAAATTAGGTCGATTACGAATGGCTCAGCTAACAACAGAGCAAAGAGTATTTCTTGTTTTAAAGTACGCCTATTAGTTCTGTTCTTAACTGAGCCATTCGTAATCGAACTCATAAGTTTAGTTCACTTTGTGTGCTTGTCTGATAACCCTGGGACACGTATTTTCAAATCCCAGAAGCGTAATTAGTTGCACAGTCATTGAAATTCTAATGTACATAATTATAATCTCGTGCATACAAATTATGGTATTTGCAGGTTTTTTTATACACCCTGTGCAGGGTGTGAATGAGTTCGCTAAATTTACTATGACCACTAATAATGAGGTAGCGAAACTGTTACATTAGAGTATGGCCAAGTCTTGTAGCTTGGATCCAATTCCTGCTTTGTTTTTCTAAAATTGTTCTGACCTGCTGCTTCCTGCTATAACTAAGATCGTAAATTTATCTATGACGACTTATGCCTTACGACGTATTATGCCTTGTAACTTAAAGATTTGTGTCCTGGATCCTCATTTGAAGAAACTGTCATCAGGCCATCAGGATTTTGGAAACTTTTGCCCGTATCTAATTTCATATATCAACGAAAATAGTTTACATGAAATTTTTCATTTTGCTTATGAGACAAAGGATAGTACGGAATCCTCTCTTATTAAGGTGCATATAATGATGTCCTGCGAGCATGGATATCCGTTATATTCCTTCTAGCTGATTTATGAGCTGCGTTTGACACAGTGGATCACCAATACCGTTGACTAGATTAACACCGCTATTTGGTTTGACAAGTGATGTCCTTAGGTAGTTTACATCCTATACCTGTCAGAAAGAAAACAGTTCGTCAGCGTGCGTTGTGAAGTTTCGACACGCAGTGAATTGCTTTGTGGTCTTCCACAGGGCTCGGTGCTCGGACCAATGTTGTTTTTATTGTAAACAACTCCTCTGGCTGATATTATCCGTGATGGAATGGGTTATCATTCTATTATTATGTTGATGATACCCAAATCTACATTTCTTTAAAATCTTCAGAGGCGGACTTTGCAAGGACTATAATGGAAGCATGTATAAAGAATGTTAATCAGTGGATGTCAAAGACTCTACTAAAAATGAATAATGACAAAACTAAATTCCTTATATTAAGTGCTCGACATCGCCACCACCACCTATATCTTCTGTCTCTGTCTGTGAAGAGATTATGAAACCTTCTAATAACGCCATGAATATAGGCGTCTATTTTGATTCAGCTATGACCATGAAAAATCACGTGACTGAAACTGGTATATCTGCTTTTTCACCTGCAAAACTTATGGCAAATAGGCAAATATCTTTCGAGACAATGGGCTGAAATTCTAGTACATGCTTTTATTACATCACGGTTAGACTTTTGAAATTCGCTCTTTTGTAGACTTCCTGCTTATTCGATTCAGAAACTTCAAAGTGTTGGCAAAATTCAGCAGCTAGGCCGGTGCACAAGTCTAATAAATACGACCGTATCACGCCTATTTGCACTGGCAACGGGTAGAATACAGAATTACAATCTAGATTTTAGTTATTAACATATAAATGCTTGAACAATATGGCGCCAAAATATCTCAAAGATTTGATACGTCCATAGTACCAAAACGGAATTTAAGATCAATCGCTATGTCAGTATCTATGGCAATGGCTGTTATATATAACATGAAGCATATAAATTAAAAGGATATGACAGTATGCGGCATGCTGCATTTATGAGTTTGTGCTTGTCGTCTGTCCAAACAAAGTCTTCATTCTTGTTTTTTACTTTGAGTTTGGTAGATTTTTGTTTTGAATTCGACATCCAACCTGTGACACGCGGGTGGAAAACATGTAGGTGTATTGTGGAATCAAATAACTTTAGCGTTTTCGGGTCGTTTTTGTGTTTACGTGTGGACGCGGAAAAATAGTTTAACGGATAATTATTTTTGCGTTTTCAAATTCTTCCGGCATCATTTAGACAGGGCCTGAGTTTTTGATCAAATCAGAAACGGTCCAAACATATATAGCTATAACACACAAAAAGCTTTTAAAATATTAGATAGAATTGATGCTGCTTGTTTGCTTTTTATTGACAGCGGTTACTTACGTTGTAATAACATTTCGTTTGGAAGCGAAATTAAGGCAACCGCGATCGTATTTTTTCACTGGCGGAGGTGTGCGGTTTCTATCGACTATCGCTCGACTGCAACCTAACCGCAGCCGAATCACAACCGCAGTGTTAGGTTATTTCTGGACAGTACTGTAATTCAACTCTTTCAATGGAGTGTTTTGTGAAATAACGAATTCAAAGAGAATAAAGGATGGCTGCATGCAACGTGCATGCTGCGTGTACGTACATGCTTAGCAGGACATCCGTGTGGCTTTTGTGCGATTTCATTTGAAAATTTTTTTCACCGGCAGTGCCAGGCGGGAGTCAATTTGCCCTGCTGGAAATGAAAAGATGCAACAACCGTTTTCTTTCTGTGCAGTATACGCAACTACAGGTATTAAGGCTTCATCAATTGAAATCTATGTTGAATACATTATTTAAGATTGAGCCGACCCGATAAGCTTCTGAAAATCGTTGCGGTTTAACATTATTTATGCCAGGGAAAATATTGCACGCTATTATCCCGCAGAGTTTTATACAATTTTCCAAGTCTAATATATATCTCTGCATTGTAATTAGGACGCTTAATTTACATGGGAAGCTAGACTTTCGATAAATAACATCTGTCTTGCCGTTTCACAACGAGAACTATGGTGTATTTTCGCATAAAGATGCACATATATTTTT